TGTGTGTGTGTGTGTGAGTGATATAGCTATGTAAATGACTCCACAGGAATGCAGCTAAATTTACAATTGAGGTTGTGACTCTTATAATTACACAGCTCCGTCAGATCAGATCACTATCTCAGGTAATTTCATTTTCACTGTGTTTTTTGTGAGCGTGTATATGTGTATGTGTGTGTGTTTCCGTGCACACCACAGACGCTTTAAACGTTTGCTGCAGAGATGAGACAGAAGAATGGATCTCTGTGTGTGTTACCGTTAACAGCCATGCAGTAACCGAGGGCAACCGCAGAGCAGCTTTGTCATTATGGTGCTGGTGATTTATGCCAGTCGTTTTAGAGATCTTATTAAGTGTCACTCACAGTCACACCTCTCTGTGTCGTCTGCAGCACACTTTCTGCAATATTATCATCTGGTGTCAAACAGACAGAGAATCCCGACAGTCTGTAATCTGGCCAATACCTCATTCACAGCAGTGACAGTTTCTAATGCGAAAATGCTTTAGGTGTGCAGAAGCAGATCTTTTTCTCCATCTGAATACAAAGCACAATACACAAGGTTTGATTTATTACTGAAACTGATTTTTTTTTGTACATTTGCCAAATGGTAATTACAGGTAATTGAACCCAAATTATTTTCTGTAACTTCAGTAACCATTGTACAGAATACTCATGGTAATCCCAGGTCATTAAATACAGATGCCTTTGGTTGCCAAAGTGTCAGTGTTTGACGAAATGGGAAGGCAACTCAACAATCAACTATCTTTCTCGAGAATGACTGACCCCACCTTTAAGTGAGAATAGTATCTGTTCAGCTTGATCCAAAGTCAGTAGGACAGCATACTACAAATACAGTCCATACATCATCCAAACATCCCCATGTTCACCACTGTGTGTGGTTTTCCATCACATTATAGACACAATACCTATAATTTTATAAAAAGAAATTTAAACAGATGTTTTGTTGCTGTTGTAAGAATGTCTCCTGCAAATAACAAATAGATGCATACGGCCAACTTTGAGTCTCTGTCTCCTTTTTTGGCTTTTAACTGCTATTGCTGTACCGTAGATGTGAGACAGCTGATGGGGGAAACAACATGGATTCGTCCTTTTAAGGGCATCAATCATTACAGAGCATATTCCATTAATAATTGATCTTTCCATTACATCTTGCATAGTCATAGTCATGGAAATTGGCTCATGTGGTCCCTTCGCATTTTCCGTGGTGATTACAGTGACCTTAATAATTATCGCTCAATTTCCAAGCTGTCCTACCTGTCATTTATTGTGGAATTGCTAATCAATAACAGCTGAAGGCATTCCTCTTGGAGCACTCCATGTCAGTCAGCTTTAGAGTCACACCTAGCCCTACCTTAGGTCTTATTTTAGTAGCAAATGGTTTTATCAAATGCATTTAGTACAGTTGATTATTCTTTACTTTTACACAGTTCTTTTCCTTTTTTAGTTTTACAGTTAGGATAGCTGCTTCTAAATAGTTTAAGAACTATTTATGACATTTACGTCTGTGTGTTAGGGTAGGGACAGCCCATTCGGAATACTTTACATCTATGGCCTGTGCTGTTCACCACTCATGTAAATTACATTTCTTTCCTGCTTGGTTGTCAAATACATTTTTATGCAGATGATACACTATTAAACTGTGTTGCTGATTCTGTTCAAGTTGCACAAAGAAATTACAACTCCACTTAAAATAACTGCAAGATACTAATTACAAATAAATGTATGTTATGCAAATACAACATAATTCATACTTTACTTAATATCCAGAAATGCATATTTATATATATATTAGTAATTTGTGTTACTGAATATAAATACCTTGGTATCTGTCACAATAAAAAATGTACCTTTAAATATAATATAAAAAAAACCTTTGTAAGCTACACAGCCTGGCTTTCTGCACAGAAACACTTTCCCTATGAGCTGTAGAAAAGTATTGAAGAAGTTGTTTTTCTCATTTCCTGATTATGGGAATGTAATTTATAGACATGCTTCCTGGTTCCACCTTTAGGCCCTTAGAGTCAGTTCATTGAGCTCTTGGATTCATTACTGGAGATAATTACAATACCCACCACTGCATTTTTCATGATTAGGCCAGTTGGTCTTTCTTTACTGACAGACACAATAAGCCTTGGTGTTTATTTATCTACAAATGTCTTGTTGGAAAATTGCCATCTCATATGAATCTTTTAAGGATCTGGAAGAAATTACTGATTTATTGCCGGTGCACTGGTTGTATGAAACAAGTTGCCATTCATCTGGTTGATCTTCCATTTAAAAATCCAAACACTTTATACCCCTCTGTAACTTCAAAGCCCACATAATAATGGCCTCATAGCTGCCATGACATGCTTCTATGTCTTCTTTTTTCTGTGTGTCTGTCTATTTTAATTCAGTTTATTTCTGTAAACAGGGTTTTGTGGTAGAAGTACAACTATGCTCAGCTTAAATAAAGGACCAATCAATTGCCTGTCACTCTTAGCTTCATTGTTACTAATGAAGACACACATTTATTTTGTGACATGTTGACACTCTTGCATGTGTACTGGATTCATTGGGTGTGTGGTATTCACACTGATCCCCAAAAACTTTGCAGGAGTCTAAGGAATCTTGGGATTTCCCCCCAGGCCACAGTCTGTGGTTTTTAATTCAGCTTTTTTCATCCTTCCTCCTCACCCTTCTCCTTCGCTGACTTTTTTTCCCTCCTTTCCTCTCATATTCTGGTCTTTCTATTGACTTGGATTTTATAAATCAGTTAGGGGGGGTTGCTGAACCTTTCATCACACATATTTAATTTACATCCTAGCCCAATATCCTGTTATTACTGTATAAAGGATTCTCAACCAATCTGTTTTGCACATGTTGGTACATGTACCATCATATCCTGTTTTTGTCAGCGATACCGTCTCATCCAGACATACAGTAAAAGCAGATTTCAATTCTTACAGAGATTAGATGGGATGCACCCATGATCTTTTTCTGTTATGTGGTGCATCTTTGTAATCAGCATAAGCAGTTTCCATGATGATCATGTTTGCAATGTTCCTTTTGTTTTTGTAGCTGTACAAAAGACATCCACAAGATATGATCTGTCTCATGAAGTAAGATTAGTGGTTTAGCCAGCTAATTTTAGAATCAACCCAGGCTTTCTGGATTTATTATGCTTGTTCACCTTGTTATATACAGCGTAGCTAACTTCCTCTGTAGTATGTTAATATGAAAGGATTTGAGAAAATGTGTAAATGGCCCACCAACTAAGAAATCAACTCACCGATTCAACTTATACACAGTATAAGATGATAGAAAGGTGATGATACTCAGATATATCTTTCACAGTAATTCCCTCACTGGTTTTCATCAGTGTAGCCTATTGCACGCTTGTCAAGCGCTTCAGAATATGAGGCGAATAGAAAGTCTTTTCAAGCATAATGTTTTGAGCCTTCACACAGAGGCAGCGGGAGCTTCACCATAGGCTACAACATATCAGATGCGCACCTCCTCACAAATGTAACTATAGTCTCATATTGAGTACAGAAACAATGTGGACCTTCCCACCATGGGTCGTATCACACTGTAAATGAAAGAATGTAAACACAGTTACTTTGGGACATATATTTAAAGCACAATATGGCCTCATGACATACAGTACATCTATCCAGCATTGCATATCTGATGCTGAACCATAAATCAAAACCTGTATGACAGATGCCTATGACCGGACATTAACCCCTTATGTCAACCATAAATCCAGCTTTAAAAAATGTCAATAGTATCTGTACACTCAAAGGTAGCTCCTACTGTTTTATGTGCACAGTCACGCAGACCTTATTGCTGTTTTCCTGTAGCCATTATGTTTAATCATTTGCAATGCAGTTTTTCTCCAGTAATCCTCTTTACACTGGCAGCAAAAATACCATGATGCATCTCATCATTAAACATAAGAGAAATACTGGTAGTAATTATTTTTCCCAATACCCACTCTAGGCTACTGAATGTGTTGAAAGTGTCAGCAATATAATGTTTAATTTATTTGATTTAGTTCCGTTTCTATTGATTACATGTATTATAGTTGTGTGCTGTATTCCTTTTCTCCACTGCATCATATTATTTTTGCCTCTCTAATGACCTAATTTTCCCATGAGGATCTGTAGTCTCATCTCTTAAATTAAACATGCAGCTCTTGATCTGTTGATGTTATGTGCGATTGGCTGCATATTTAATATGAACTTGCCCAAAGCTGGATTGGAAAATGTATCTCAGAGAGACAGCTCATAAGGACTTCTGAGAGAGTTATCAGGATGGCCAATGCAGGCATAATGAAGCCAAAACACAAAAAGAACCAGACTGAGTTGAGTTGAATATCAGGACACCAAAACTTTGACTTGATTAAGACCTTTAACATTAGATATGACCTTTTATCAGGAAAGATTTATGTACGAAAATCTGTGTGAGAATAAAACAAAGATTTGAGAGATTAATCACAGACTTTATGCATCAGACGAAAGATTCTAGTGGAATCTGACTCTAGACCAGCAGGGTTAGCATGGCTCCAGAGGCTGGGGTCTTTACCACCACACCATCTCTTGGCACTAGTCAAGTCGTTTTTTTTTTATTCGGTTGACATCGACCATGCATCTGCTCTCTGGTTCCCACAATCCTTTTCCCTTGTTGCTATGGCCAGAGCATGTTTGTGTTTTCGAGGGTGTGGACTCAGCGGTTACTGAGTTGGTGGCTGATTGTATTAGCTAGCAGAGCTGGTTTGGAACTTGGAGACTTGGAAAAACATGACTCATGAACTGTTGTTTCTTCTCTTTTGCTTTTCTCTCACTTTTTGATCCACCCACTGCAACCCCCCACACAGACAAAATGATGTGATACTTGCTTACAGCCACTACAGAAAGAAACATCATTATGCAAAATGATCATGGATCAAATTCACTGATGATGTTAATGTGCCACATTCAGGCCATTTTACCCAATTTGTCATTTAAACAAGTTCAGTATAAAGTTCTTATGTGCACATATATGCAAAAAAACTTGCTATTCCGAGTAGGTAGAGTAGAGGAAACCATTCCGACAAAGCAGAGAGAAGAAGTCCTATTCACAGCTGGTAACCGGCCAAATTACATTTAGTCTAAAAAAAACCCATAGCTTATGGAATAAAATATCTCATATATCTCCCTGTAGGGAGCTAAAATGTCCTTATAGAAGCAAAATAGACTCGCTGTGCAGATGGGGCTGGAAGTCCAGAAAGAAAGATTATTTAAATTTACACCATTAAAATCCATTAATAAAATCCAAAGTATAAATACCATATACTGAATACTGCCTTTGAAATGGTACTCACTAAAAAGTCATGTGGTATGATGGTGTATAGTATGAATATAGTTTCTTTTCTATTAAATATACTCATTCTGAGAAATTACATGGAATTGAAGTATTACAGAAACTCGGTATTGTTCTAACAGTAAGTTGTCCTATGATAGGGGTTTAAACTACAGCAGTGCATCATGTTTTATCATCCTCTTGTATGTTTTGCATGTTAAAGCTCAATTTACAAAATGACCAGCAACTACATGCAGTATAATTTATGCAGTGGAGTAAAAGACATAGTATTTTCCTCTGAAATGCAATGGAGTTCAAGTATAAAGCCTTACCAAATGTAAATTTAAAAAAAAAATTCATTTTACTTGAGGTATTTGGTTAGTTATGGTTTACTGAAAGAATAATTTAACAACCTGTTCTTGATAAAATCTCTATGACTTCAACGCTTGATTAAGATTAAGATCGGTCTGCCAGAAGATGAACTCATGTCACCATAGCTGAATGTCTCAAGTGACTCTTGAGACTGTGTTTCTTTGTTGTTTTTTTTGCATTTTACAATGTGTAAGTGTGCGTGTGTGTGTGTTCTTGCACATGAAGTGAATCACTACGCCCTGACTGAACACACTAGTATAGTAACTGTGGGAAAACTGGGGCAGGAGAGCAGCACGCACACACTCTTAAAACTGGGACAGAAAGTACTGTATGTCTCTCTCTTCTGTCTTTCTTTAGTTATGCAGGTCGTGTGGTTGGCAGCACTTTAAAAGCCCAGAGGGGGAACCCAGAGATGACTGTCCGTAATACAGATCCTGTCCTAAAGGGGGCGAAACAGAGGCTGGAGCAGCTAACACAGGTAAACAGACGTGCTCACTTCAAATAAGAAATAGTGGGTGAGGTCAATGTTGGCGCACACCATTCTCACAATTTCTGTTTGTTAACAAACCTTTTAATTATTTCACTTGCTTTCAGAGAGAGAGGCCATTTCAAAGTTCTATTATTTATTATTGTAATATTTAGTTTTTTCCAAAGCTAACAGCAAAGGCCTACAGATAACAATACTGGTTGGCCGGTTCATTCCCTTTTATGTATGTAATATCCTGTATATGAAAGTCTTCCATTATTTTTGGGGACCTTCTGAATTTCCTCTAGCACCACCATCAAGCCAGATTTTCCTCTTATAGACAGGAAATCTAATGGGCATATTGTGATGGAATTTACTGGATTCTTTCTTTCTTGTAGCATCATCATCAAGCGAAAATTACAACATTGCATCAATATAAACACTGTATATATATATCCCATAGTCTTATAAGCAGTCCAGCATGGACATGTCTAACAAGGACATCCACATATAGCATCAGATGATCCTCCTCCCTGGGCTCACACAGTAAAGTCAGTGTTTGTTAAAAGAATCAACTCCCTCTAACATCTATAAACAGCAGTAATTAGCTGTAGCTGTATTTTATCATCATAGATAAATCATTTTTTACTTTGTAGATATTTGGAGTGCGTAACTTTGCACTGTTTTATTGCATTATGCTTATAAACCAAAAAATCGTCATGTTCACTTATACACAACTGATTCACTGTTACTAGGGTGGCCTAAGGATTTCTTCTTTGATCATACTTTTGCTTTTTATGCTGAAATGGTTTAGGCTGTGACGTATCTTTTAATTGGGCTCAGGTATTAATTTATCCAACTATGCAGACTATGCAGTAGCGTAGAGTGTTGACGTAGATTTATAGAAAGGCAGAGTAAGCGACATGATCTGTGGGTGATTTCATAACTCCTCCATAGAGCATTAATATCTTATGTATTCACCTTGGCCATGACACCATGATGTATAAAGGTGGTCAGCATTCTGCAGGAATGTTGCTACCTGCCCGTAATGGATGGAATTATTCATATTCATACTTAAGTAATGATGCTGTTGTTAGTTTGATCTTTGGCTATTATTACTATGGTGAAATATTAGGTTCAACCTCTTGGTGTGAAGTGTAATGAAGGTGTGATACACAGTTGCTAGAGCTAGCTGCAGGGCCCTGGATTGTGTATATATATGTGTGTGTGTGGTTGTGTGTCGTGTGTGTGTGTGTGTGTGCACGACCTCATCTGGCTCTCAATCATCTGTTATCACCTCGTGTGTGAAGCACTGCTTAATCCAATAAACTTAAATGTCAGCACTCTAAAGAGATGTAGATAATAACATGCAATAATAAATTAATTAATTCAACAATTAAACTGGATTTATACAGCACTTTCAACACTCTGGACAGCATGGTAATATGTTGATATGATCTGCATGGATGATTCATAAAACCATATAAATATGATCCCATAAATGATACGTCAAGGTTATTTATAATGATGATTCACTGTTTGTGCCCAAGACCATGTGGCTGTGTTTGAGACACTTTAGAAACTGTCAAACGAGCTGATAAGCAGACAGGAAGCCAGAGAAGTAAACTCGGAGAAAGACCAAACAAACAAGCAAGGAAGACGACATAGAAACATCGAGTTTGTCAGCTATTAAAGAATAAGGCTGGCAATATTTAATATATTTTTGTTATCGTAAACCAGTCCCATGAAAACACCAAAAACATCAGTCCAGCTCTCGTTACATTTCCAGCCTGTCTGTGACACTTAATGTGTCATGAATATTTACTGTAAATATTTAGTGCGGAATCATAAGGTCAAGACTAGAAATTGCAGTTTGTTAAGGTAGTTATAGAATATTTATGGAGAATCATGGGATGGCACATGCTAAGGTTTATTTTTCCCTTTTTTGCTGTTGAAGCTTTTTCTGTGGTCCGTCTGAATTTGGTGGTGAGCCCATTAATCATGTTGCGTTTACATAGAAGAAATGCCAAGTCAGCAGCCCCCTCTGCCATATACGCAAACACACACCACACACGCACCATGTAATCATGTTTGAAATCTACTTTCTCAGGCCTATTAATAATATGTAACCCTTACATGTCCTGTCTATGATTTAAAGAACACTGATTCTTCTAACATGAACACATGCACACCAACACACACTCAAACACTGTGTTAGATCAATGGTTTAGACTTGTAATACGTGTCCGATAGATGGATGGGGGTAAATGCTAACAGGCCACAACATGAACCAAAGGCAAAAGTCAGATATAACGCAGCTCATCTGCATTGCAAACTATTTTCACTTCAAAGGGTGTGCAGTCTTTCCATCTTTTTGATATATTGAGAGAAGGCAAGTCTGTGCACACAAACAAACCCTGTGTGTAGGTACACACTGTGCTGTTCTTGTCCTTTGAACGAGTCTAGAGTCACCTTTGGAAATCCATGGCCTGGGTTGTGCTTCTTTCATGCTAGCTGCCTGAGTGCTTACTCTGTTGGGGAAACCATTTATCTGAAGCCCACATTAATGCACTCCATGTATGAATAATTATTCATGCCTGTCATGCGTGCCATTTACACACTTGCACAGCCAGGATGAGAGGAGGAACAAAATATGAAGCAGGACAAAGAAACATCCTTGGAATTTTAATTATTCCATCAGCCATGTTTTGGAGGTTTGTCTTTCTTTCAGTCTCTTCTTATCTTTCACTGTCCCAATTTTGTATTATGCGTTAATTAGACCTTCGCAGCAGTGGATTGTGTTTCATACGAGCTTTGCTCTGTAATGGGATTCTGTAAGTGTGGCCACTTGCTTCTCCTCGCAATTAAATTTTTTATGTACATGTTCAGCCAATCAGGATGAGCCTAATCAGCCTTGTGAGGGCTGCCCCTGTATAGGAAAAGGGCAATGGTCCCACCGCTCCTTCTACATTCATCCACTTTTTTTTTCTTAAGTGACAGCAGATGGCAACACTGCCAAGGATGGCTTTATTAGAAGAGAGTTTCAAATTCTGCTCTTCCTACTTTGTCTTAGTCTCAACCAGAATCCCCGGGAATAACATTTATACTGCTGAGTGGAAACCGACCTGCAGTTTAACTTTGCTTTGGTTAAAGGAATTGTTGACATTTTGGGAAAAATGCTTATTTGCTTTCTTGTAAAGGGTTAGATGAGATGTTAGATACAATCCTATATCTGTCTTGCGATGGCTGGTAGTCAATTAGCTTAGCTTAGCACAAGACTAAAAACAGGGTGTAACAGCTAGTGTGGGTCTGTGCTAAGGTAACAAAATACACTTACCAGCACTTCACAAATTTACACATGTCAGGGAATATGGTTTTACAAGGAGGGTAATGTCAAAGTCTGGCTGCCTGGCAACCTCAGGGCGATGGCAAGACTCCAGGAAGTCACTTAAGACTGTAGCTACTATGCATGGGGAAAAAAAATTACAGAGCAAACAGAATTTAAGGGCATTCAGTTTTACGTGATTTACAATTTTGCAGAACTGCTCAATATCAACCTTTTCCCTGGGGACAGGGTTGCTTGGTGAGCAGTATCAGGCAGTCCCTATGGTGCTTTATAGAGACTTCATCCTGATTAGCTCCATATTACTTTGTGCAATAGCTACACCCGTGTAGTGCAGTATAACTAGTTGTGCAATATGTTTCTGTTTATCTTTGACATTTCGCTAACAGAAAACTACATAATGCTTAGTGTTTGCTGTTCATTCATTATCTTGTTTACTTTTAGAGAATATCTTAACCAAGCAATGGTACCTTACCAACTGTTCATTGTTGGATAGCTGAAATGATAAGTAATATTATAGTTACCATTCCACCACTCATTATTTTGAATTAACATAGTCCCATCTCTTTCGTATTTTAGTAATATGCAAACAAAGGCAAAACAAGACCAAAAATTCTAACCTTTCATTTATGAGATAGAACAGACTGCTGTGGAGCTGCCACCCTTAAAAATATATTTCTAGGCCTATTGGTTTTGCTGGAGAGTTTCAGAGCCACACAACCCAAATTCAGTTTAAATTCTAGCTTCCCACATGACTAAGAAAACACAGTCCTGGTGGAAACATTGCTGTAATGTTTTTTTGTCCTCCCTCAACCCTCATTTGCAGTCTGATGACATGATGGTGAATCACACACACACACACAGAGTCAAGTCTGTCTCCATGTCCCTTCGGACATGCTGTCATATATATAATATATAACCTTGGTTCCCCTTGATTCCACGGCTGCCCCACACCTACTGTACAGTGGATGCCAGATGTCCCTCCTTATGTATTTAACCTGCTTTCATCGATCAGGAAAACTCATCCTCAAACACAGGTATACAATAAAACCAATAGCTATTTTAAAACGGTTGAAAATACAAATTATAAATATACCTTTTTTCCAAAAACATGAATCAATTGTGTAGATTTCAAATATCATGAGCATATAATAAAATCAGGTTACAGCCCTGTTTGTTAGGCACACATATGTTTGTCTGTTTACATGACATACATGTATAGTGAACTACAATTATGTATAGGTCTACTGCTGCACGTCTTCAGGGTCACACTGTGAAGAAAAATGTATACTATTTGCATACTTAGTCAGTATGTGTGTATCAGCACCACAATATATAGTAACAGCTTACTATATCTTCTTGTGTTAAATGGATTATATTTGCAAGGCTGAGTTAAGCCATCTTTAAATACTGGAAAGTAGAATGGATTTTGGCTGTCTAGCAACAGGCAACTTAGGCAGGGAAGCAATTTTATAACTACACTTACCCTGCATGACAATGAAGTTCTAAAAAATGTTTGTAATTATAAAATCCAAAACAGTTGACTCTCAGTTTGGCCTTTATAGTATTTAATTTGCCGGACGGATTTCACCAGTGTAAGGTAATATAAATCATTACGATAGATGTTACAATCTTGGTGGCATCAGCTTTGCTGAATATATAGGAATGTTATCTTAGGGGAAAATAAAATAGAATAAAATGTCACCACAATATATCTTTTTCCTTTATAAAACGGGTGGCCGGTTGCCTTATCTCTGTTTTCAGCTGGAATTCATATATTACCCACCTTGACTCTCTACAATACACATTCATCATACTGTGAACCAATTATATGTCCCTGTCGCTGTGTATGTGTGAAAACCTAATAACTCCAATTTTGGAGTTTTCTACTTTCTTACTTGGTCCTTACTTGGACAGAAAGTTTGTGTTGTGCCTTATGATTTAATCAAATTCTTCATCCATTGATTGGAAAAGTCAAAACCCAATATTTGACTAAAGAGTGGATGTTTTTTTAATTCCTCATTAGTTGATCTTTAGGAGACATGAGGTTTACACCCGGCGTCACAATTATGTAACACACTGTGACTTCACTGAGTGGTAGAGTTTATGGATTCACGCAGAGACAGCATGACCTCAATTACCCTTTAGCCTGCTCTCTGACCTGTGTGTGTGTATTTTCTTTTTCTTGTTTTTGTACATGTTCCTGTGCTTGTTCAAATATGTTTTTGTGGGCCATTTGGTGCCTTTAGAGGGAAAAACATCCCTTTTTTGTTTTATCTTTAGCATTTATGTGATCGCTCTGGTGATCATTGAAGTATTATCAGAAAATGCAATATATTGCTGACCTTTGACCTACTATAGGCGCTTTGTAATGTATGTGATTTGCGATTTGGAACGTATTCTCCTTTGCACTCCCTGTAAATTCTCAGGTCGACCAAATACCTAAAAAAAAAGGTCTATAGCCACACTAGCAGCTTTGTGAGGCTGCTCTTAGGCATTGTGGTGCTTTGAGCTAAAATGCTAACATCAGCATGCAACATGCTCACAGTCTCGTGTTGATGTAATATTTACCATGTCCACCATCTCAGTTAAGCCTTTTAGCATGGTAATATTTGCTAATCAGCACTAAACACAAGTCTGAGTCTGATGGGAATGTCATTAGTTTTGCAAGCATTTAGTAATAAACCAACGTATTAGCCAAATTGCAATTTTGACCGGATGATGGTGCTAGATGAGAAGGATTATCAAAGTGATTACAGTTTATTCTGGTGGGGGGCTTGAATGTGTGTGGAAAATTTCATGGCAATCCTTCCAATAGTTGTTGAGAGATTTTAGTGAAAACCACATGCCATGGGGGCACGAGAGGAAAAGGCAGGGAATCACCATAGTCTGTGAGTTTGTTCATCTGGGGACCATGAATGTCTGCACAAACTTTCATCACCATCCATCCTATAGTTCCTGAGATATTTCAGACAAACTGACCACCATTACCATCCGTAGAGCAATGCTGCTAGTTAAAATAATGTAAATGTGTTTTATTTGTTGTGTGTGTAATGTGTTTGGACATTTGTACATGTGCGTGTTTTATTTAGGAGCTGTTAGTGGAGCTCGGCTGGGCGAGCAAAACCCGAGGAAAGGTAGAGGAAGAGGAGGGAGGGAGCGCACAGACAGGGAGAGGCAGCGGAGACGACTGTGACGATGAAGACGGCTGTGAAGCATCTGGTGAGGAGAAAGGTGAGTCATAGACAAACACACGCAGACAAGCATGTGTGCAAAAAATAGAGGAACAAACATACACCCACACATGTACACACATGAACTGATGCACATTTTTGTTTTGTGGTTGTACACATATAGGGCTTCTGATTCATGCTTAACATTCTAGATAGATAGATAGATAAATAGATAGATAGATAGAGATATAGATATAGATATAGATATAGATATATATGTGTATGTGTGTGTGTGTATACACAAAACCTATTTTAAATAAAAACCTGACACACACACATACAGTTCATTGGCATGGTGGAGGTTTTAAAATGCTGCAGCCTCCACATATCTTGTGCCAGCAGGGAAATGCCCAGAGGGAGGGATAGTACTGAGAGATGGATTCAACTGTCCTCCCTCTCCCTTTCTCTCTCTCCTTCTCTTTCTCTCTGGCTTCCTCCATCTCTCCTTCTGCTGGTCTCAGCAGTTTATTTCCTCCTCGGCCAGGATAAAGGATGCACTAACAACCAGGTCACCCCAAAAACAGAAATGGAAAAATAAACTGTAATTATTCATCTATCTCTTGACTTATTCATCATGCTTATGCTTATAAATAATACATGGGTGCCACATGGAGATCTGGGGACCCCTAGGAGGCTTGATGGAATCCCACCGAGTGAATGTAGTTAAAATGAGCTATTAATTAAATTGGTGGGCAGTTACAATGGCAATTATGGTGGTGGTGGTGGAGAAAAAAAAATCTATGTATTGTAGATGTTTGTAAAAGTATTTCTGTATGAATGTAAAGACTCTAAAGCAACAATCAAAGTGAAAAAGTTAAACACTCAAAAACAAATTAGCTTCACATGACAAATACAGAGGAAATGACATCATAGTCCACAATGGTCATCCCCTCTCTCTGCCCCCTTTCCTGTCACTCTTCAGCTGTCACTATCAATAAAAGCCCTCTACTGCAACAGTGTGTTTACTCCTTAGTAAGTTTCTCCCAAAATAGGTTTCATTTAGTTTTATCAGCTTCAGCAGCTTGTTTCCAAGATTATTTTAGGTACTGTAGCGGCCTTCTTTCAAAATATTCTGTTCCCACATCATAAGACCAAACAGGTTGAGTGTTTTTTCACACCAATGCCATCTCCAGCCAAGCGCCTGAAGGACAAACAGTCCTCAAAGGCTGCTGCAGCTGACATACTGTTCATGTCTATCTTTAGCTGGAAAAACGCATATGTTGATTAACTGGTCAACAACGAGAAGACCCCGGCCACCTTTATGGTGACGGAATTTTCCATGACACCCAAAACCTCCAACCTTTGTTGCAAATGTTCTTGCTTTATGGGATTGATTATTATAATTTACTAAACCAAGGCTTGTTCTTCTGCATCATCACCATGTTACCCATGACCCACGAGGTTACATGTGATATTACTGGGTGGTGGGATCTCTGCCCCTGAGGGCAGGACGTAATAGGGTCAAAGGCCATTGTCACATTAATTATCCCTGCGCTGTTCTCGTCATTACTGGAGTCATGAGTGTGTATCCATACAGTGACGTAGGACACTGTATGGCTGTTAGTCCTTTGTGATACTGAACTGTAGCTCAGTGGTTCCCAACCCCCAGCCTGCAGACTGCTACCAAGCCAAGACGAAAAATATGATTGGACAAAATAAAGCTAGAATTTGTTAGGCTATTGGTGTTATTGTTGAATTAACTTGAACTTTATTTTTTCCTTGTTGAACCTACAAATAGATACTGTTTTAAAATCAAAGTAGGTCATCAGTATGCAGAGTAATCAGTCCTCCATTAGCAACTCAGTCTGCATGTGGCTGATACCAGACTCGAGCCTGATGGGTCCTGACAAAGTCTTCAGGTTTTATGTGTTTTGTTGTGTGAAGCCTTTGGTTTGATTTTCGTTATTTTCAAATGTGATTTAATAATAATGAAAGTCTTTGATTTAGCCAGTCCATTCACTAATGTGTTTGATTATCTTTTTATCTCCTGTACTCAGATCTCTCTTGCAAACAAGATCTTGATTTCAATGAGTTGACCTGATTAAATAAAAGAGAGAATTTGAGAGAGCTTGAGAGGTGCAGGCAAGATAGATAGAAGATAAAAGGCCACAAAACACATGTGTTATAATATCCTAAAGGGTCCTATATGTGCTTAACCATGATTCCAGTCGCTGCCTAGCCCAACCTTGTCAAACGGTCCACAAAAACCAAGTGATTATAAAACTGATCTGTGGTTTGAAAAAGGTTGGAAACCTCTGCTGTAGGTATGTACTGGTAAAGTTTGCCATTGAAGTTAAGGGATTTCATGTAGCAGTGGTCCGACTGAAACAAACTCTTAATCTTACAATAAGTATCCAAGCGTCATCTCTATATCAAAGTTATGACTAAGTATCCAAAATAATTGAGTCAAATGAGGGGGTTTTATATGTGTGTGTGTGTGTGTGTGTGTGCGTGTGTTTTAAGAGAACAAAACTGTATTTAAGATCTCACACTGTAAACCTTGAGTTAACTTCATTTAGAAAACTCTAAACCACAATGTTTCAATGCAAATGACAGAAGGTAATAGTCAGGATTACAACATGTAAACACTGTTTGAAGACTGTGTTCATGACAAAATTAAATATTTATGCCCCCTTAAATGTTTGTTTTCTCATACTGCATCACACCGTTATTTAACAGCTCTAAAAGTAAGGTATGTGTTTGTACGTTTGTCATACCCTTTAGACTAACCTTGATGTGTCAGATCTGTGGAAACTTGTGTCTCCCGCTGGGCCTGAAACTGGTACATTGGCTATTTGGAGAGAAAATTGCTGGTTATGATTTACCGAGCTGGTGGCAGCATGTGGGGATCGTGTATCTCAAGCCACAATGAATTCCTGGAGAAAGAATCACAATAAGTGACAAAAGGGGATTTTCTCTATGCATATAAACAAGCCTGACGCGCACTGAAGCTGAAAGAGTAATGCAGAGTCACCCAGTCCACACAAATCACACAGGGTCATTATTTTTAGAAATATTTACACTTTTTATTCCTGTACTATACATTAAATCAGTAGTTCTGAGTTAATGTATGAATAAAACACCATCAAATGATTAAATGCAGGCCGATCTGATGTTTTTCTGAGTAGATTTACTACTAAATCTGCCTGTTCACGCTCTTTTACTCTCTCTCTCTCTTTAAAATTCAGCCTACAAACTACTTCTCTAAATCTGAATCACTGAAATGTGGAGGTTATTATTTCAGAAAAGGAAGAGCATTGAAACAAATCTTGCTTGCGTGAGAAATGAGAATGTTTGCAAGTGTGTCGATGTGTGTGCACAAATGAATGTTTATGGCCTCTTGTTTATTCTTGCGTGCTCGACATGTGCTTTTTGTGTAAGATGTAAGCGCGTTTGTGTGTATGCAGGCGGTACATCTGTTGCTGCAGTGTCTTTGCGTGTAATCCGGTATGTTTTATGGATGGCTCAGTTCTATGTCTGATTGGCTGAAACGGATCCAGTAGCGCGCTGCTTCTTGACTTATAATGTCTTTCTCAATATCAACCTGTTGTTTTCTTTAACACACACACATGATTGAGCTTAGGTTCTCTCCCTCTCTTTCCTTGGACTGCAGATATGAACAGTTATGAATAAAATGAAGAAAATATTCTTCCTGTCTTGTAATTAATTCTCATGACATTTGGGCTTTGTTAAATACTGAGGAGGGACAAGAGCAGTGGAGGATGAGAGATGAAGGTGGTGTGATATAAACCAGGAGCTGAAATCAAACCTCAAAACTTCAACACCTCAGTGCCAAGCATGTGTTTTATTTATGTGGGCCACTTAACAGTGAGAAGCTATTTTAGTCATGCTGAGACAGTACGCAGGCTATTATTATTTGATTTAAGTCAATTTAAAAGTTGATCTTAGCCAGGGAGGAAGAATCACTTAGCAAACATTGTTCACAGATCAGAAGCAAACGAAAAAGGCAGGCGCCTCAACATATGAGCAGTTAAAAGCCGAGAGCTTAACTTAGCGCTGTTTGGCTATTTTAGAAAGGTTTTTTTTATGTAAGTCGACAGTGAAGTCCAGCCAGAAACGCTGATGTAGTTTTTTTTTCTCTTACTTTGATTCGCTGTTTGACGATTAGAATATGTTATTCACTACACTGTATATGAATATGAGACATTTACACATGCCTATAGATACACAGCTGTCTGCTGAAGCTGCTATGGAATTTTGCATTACTGTCAGCAATCAAATACATCTTTCATACTTAACTTTATTGGCTATTTGTTGTTATTAATAACAATAAAAGGAAGAAGAATAGTAAAAAGAGAAGAAAAGAGAAACCACACAAATGCATGTTATAGATGCCGCTGAACATTTGCAGGGGAGGTTTTTTCCTCTCTTGTTACTCTTCTTCTTTCTTCGTTTAGTCATCTCTCATCCTCCCCACCCCTTGAATTCACTGAGATTAAACTCATTGATTTTTTTTCTCTTCAACCCAGTACAATCCCTTTCTCAACTGCCCCTTCTACGATCTCTCTGTCTCCCCAGACATATCCAGGTCCTATAATGTCAATAATGTAAATGTAATCACAGTTTCTCTTCTCTTCTCTTCTCTTCTCTTCTTTTATCTTCTCTTCTCTTCTCTTCTCTTCTCGTCTCTTCTCTTCTCTTCTCTTCTGAGTAACAAATGAAATGCTGTGTCACCATAATTGCTATGCTTTAAACTGTGATGTGGTGGTGGATGCAGAGATGAGGGTGCTTTACCTCCAGGTATCCATGAGTCACATTACAACCACTAATGTCAGTTTAGTCTGGAAAGCACCGATCCTGTTTCCTTAAAAGACCTAACGTTCATAGTTTGAAGGTGCTTGCAAAATCCCTATTATGGCTAAATGTCTTACAGATTCCTGTTGTCCGTTGTGCAAATGCAAACACGGATAAACAAATTGTAGGCAGGTTTGTCTTACAAACAATACATTCAGCAGCTCTTTGTATCTTAGTACAAGATGT